GCCATCACTGCTACCCCTTCCATGATGTGGCATTTCAACTCTTCCTCAAGATACTTTGCATATGTTGTGACATGGGGAGCATCTGATACATGGTTCAGGTGTTGGTACATGTGTAAAAGGTTGTAAAGTTTAATTTCTTTCAACTTCTTAGATAAAAACAAATAAAATGGAATTTTATTTTCTTTCTTCACCCAGTGGATCATTTTATATACCTCCAGGGTTGCATGTACCTCACTTTCTCACTTTTCAGATTACTGGTTTGGACTTTTTTTTTTTTTTTTTCCTGAGTCAGAGTCTCTCTCTGTCGCCCAGGCTGGAGTGCAGTAGCACACTCAACAGCCACCTCACCCTCGACCTGCTGGGCTCAGGCTATCCTTCCACATCAGTCTTTCAACTCAGTGAACCCCTGGACTCAGGCAGTGCTCTCGCCTCGGCCTCCCAAAGTGCTGGGATTACAGGCTTTAGCCACCACGCCCAGCCTGTACTTATGTTTACATGGCTGTAACCCTATTCATTCTTCAACCCACCATAACCAGGCTTCTGCATCTTCTTTGTCAGCAAAACTGTGGTGTAAGGTCATCAATAAGTTATCTTACCATAACATACAAGACTCTAATGCCCTCACCCCATTCTACACACATATACATAGACCTTTCTGGTCTTATTACCCACTAAGGCCCGTCTTTTAGAGGCCTTATCCTTTGCTTTAGGGTTAGGGACCTGTTTTCAGTTCCCCACAGATACCATAATCTCTCATTCCTCTATATGTTGCTGTTCCCTCCTATATTGTGTCTACTGTTCAAAAGCCCCTTAATAGTTGATATTTACTGTGTCCCAGGCAGAGTGGTCTGCATGCATTTTTTTCATTTAATACTCACATCAACCTAGTAAGTAAGTTTATTTCTCTTTATTTTAGAAATAGTATACCAGGACTTAGAAGAGGTAATAAATTTGTCTATGGTGCATGGTCAGTAAGAGGCAACCTAGAATTCAAACTCAGTGCTCTACAAATTATGTTATACTGACTTCCCTTAGGAAAGAAGTATATTTTGTTTATTTTTGTACACTGACACCTAGCTCAAGGCATAGTAAATATTTTTGGATGAGTTCTGAGCTAGTCTTAAAGAATGAAAATGGGCCGGGCTTGGTGGCTCAGCCTGTAATCCCAACACTTCGGGAGGCTGAGGTGAGTGGATTGCCTGAGCCCATGGGTTCGAGACCAGCCCCGACAACTTGGCGAAACCTCATCTCTGCAATAAAGCAAAACAATTACCCAGGCGTGGTAGCACGTGCCTGTAGTTCCGGCTACTTTGAAGGCCGAGGCGGAAGAAATGCTGAAGCCCAGCTGGTCAATGCTGGGGTGGCTGTGAGCATGCCACTGCTGTCCAGCCTGGGTGACAGAGTGAGACTCCAACTCAAAAAAAAAAAAAAAAAAATGAAAGTGTTCTCGGCAGGAGAAAACAAAGATAAATCCGGAAATGAGAATATGTCTATGGTACATTTAGAGAACAGTGACCAGGTCACCGTATGTTAAAAAAGTATTCAGTGAGCAGCATTCAGGGATCTTTCCATCTATAACGTATTCTAAAGTTTTCTTGACACTTACCCCCACCCACTGCTGTTCTAGTCCTCTGCTCTTGGCAGCAAAACTTCTCTACGTTTTGACTATTTGATTCCTCTACTATTCTTTTGACTCTAGTACACTGAGGCTATAGCCTTACTACTCCACCAGAGTGGCTATTGTTAAGGTCACTGGTGCCTTCTGTGTTGCTAAATCTAGTGGACATTTCTCAGTCGTCATCTTACTTGATCTGTCAGCATCATTTGACACAAGTGATCACTCCATTCTTAGGACACCACAATATCTTGGTTTTCCTCTTCTCTTACTAGTTGTCCATTCTTCCTCTGCTCCTCAGCTTCTGGATAACAGGGTACACCAGCCTCAGCCCTCAGTCTTTCAATCCACACTCACTCCTATTGACAGATGAATGGATAATGAAAATGTGGTGTGTGTGTGTTGTGTATACACACACATGTATATGTACACACAATTAATGGAACATTATTCAGCTTAATAAGAGAAGATCCTGTCACTTGTAACAACATGGATGGATCTGGAGGACATTGTGATAAGTGAAATGAACCAGACACAGAAGGGCATACTGTATTATTCATCTTTTATGAAGAATTTAAAATAATGAAGCTCATAGAACCAGATAGTAGAAAAGTGGTTATCTGGGGATGGGGGAGGCACAAGTGGGGAGGTGTCAGTCGAGGGATGCAAAGTTTCAGTTACGCAAGATGAATAAGTTTTGGAAACTTCCTGTTCAAGATATAGCCTCTAGTTAGCAATAGTGTATTGTATACTTAAAATTTGCTAAGGGCACAGATCTTATGTTATGTGCTCTTAACACAAATGAAAAAAAATCTAAAAACAAATTTTAAATAAAGAAGGCAAAAGAGAAAACTTTTAGAGATCTTAAAGATTTATTTAAATAGACTTCCAGCCTTGAAAAGAGATATGTGAGAGTATGTAATACAAAGAAGATACATTTGACCAGGAAGATTTATTAACAGCTATAGATCTACATGTGCCATTATTATGCTCTTCAGTGTCATTTGGTATTAAATTATATTTATATAAGTATACCAAATCCTAGCATTTCAGAATAGAGTGTACAGTTTTAGATTTTAGATTGCCTTCCATCTCACACAACTTTAATCAGAGCATTAAGGAGCTCTAAATAGGCCTTGCTTTTGAATCTGCATATCAGGAGGGGGCTGAGAGCATGAGTGCTAGGATGTCATGTCTTGGTGATTAATGATCTCTAGGAAGCTGAAAGGGGGAGAGTAATATACACAGTATTTCTACCCCCTGGAGTAGGAATGCAAACACCATTGTGCAGATCTGTGCATAGTCACTGACTTCCTGGTAGCTGGAGAATTTCATACACTCTTCTACCACAAATAAAACTGTCAGAGAAGTGACAGAGCTCAAAAAGCTGCCCTTCCTTACTTAAAAAGAATAGCTCAAACACAGTGAGCCAGAAAATTAATTTTGTAGTTGTTTGGGAACCCAGTTCAATAAGAAATGAGAAAACGGGAACTTTTCTTGAAAAGCCTAAAACCTCCAAATATTTGTTGAATTAAACTCTGCATTTGGTTTCTTAAATTTACTGAATTCCTGGACACTGCTTACTTTAAGTAATTTTACAAGGGAAGCATTCCTTTGTAATGAAATGGACTCATCTTAAACTTTTCATTCTGGTCTCTATGGTAGATTCAGGGATACTGTCGATAGACTCCAGAGCTTATTGCTTTATGCTTAGGGAAAAAATCCTAGCATTTCAGAATAGAGTGTACAGTTTTAGAAAGTAATTCTAATGTAGAGTTCTTTTTCCCTCTCTTTATCCCCAGTGAATCCATGGTATTTAGTAACAATTTCCAAATGCTTAAGTCAGAATTGAAACATTTAGAACTATAGATGATAAGGAACTACAGATGTTTGCAAAATAGTTTTAAAAGAAAGTTTGTAGGGAAAACATTGTATTTCAACCACATTTGAAATTTACAAATAATCAAAATCAGAGATTTTGTGTAATAGTAACAGCAGCAGTATTTGGTTTTAGTAAGGACAACCAAATAACTTGTATTTTATAGGAACTATTAATTCATAGGATTTATTAAATTATTTTTGCTCTTGTTTCACATTTTTTTGATGCCCTATATATTTCCACTTATTCTTCTACATTCTCTAACTTTCAAACTGATTCCATACCAATTTTATTTTTCCATAATATTAAAAAAAGGAAATATTCACTTTTGTGAAAATAGAACCATACTTTAGGGTAAAGGAGGAAAAAAAATATAATTTTTTTATTGCTGTTGTTTTTCTGTTTGTTTTGCTTTGTTTTTTAGGGTGTCACTATAATCTAAAGTAAAAGGAACTACTCTGGTCTAAATTAAGAGCATCAGATGGAGTAAGCCCTGAATTTGGTTTTCAAGTAGTTAGACTTTTAAATTGCATTTGCAAGAGTTTATTTTTAGTCAGGATGGGTTATTTTTAGATCTGCTTCTCTGTCACTAGGAAATGTAATGCCTGTCTTTCCATTGTTGTTTATCAGGAAGTTCCAAGGCACAGGCTTGTAAGATCCAGTTAACCTCAAACACCACCTCTCCTTTTAGATGAAAGAATATGAAATAATACATGGAGGAAAATATGTTCATTGAGGACATGTGTAATTTTGAAATTGTTAGTGTCATTTTAATCTCTTGTACACGAGCAACAGAGTTTTTAGGGAATGCCAAAAATATAAGGTTTGGGTTCCCCCTACTGGTGTGCATCCCAGGCTCATGGATTCATTAATATACAGCAGAAAGGCCTAGGGAATAGAGATTAGAAATAGTTATGTGGAGTTCATTTAAAGAGAACTGACGATGAGAGATGGAAAAAAAGTTCCATTTCCCTCTTCCTGCAAACGTCTTACAAAAATGGGATGATGTAAAAATTATTCTACATCTAGAAAGAACAAAACTTAATCCTAAATATTTGGTTTTTAAGTTGTTACCTCTGTGGTAAGCTGTTATATACAGTGCTTCTCAAATACTTTATGTTGTAATCTAAGGAATAATAAAACACCAGTGGATCCACAAAAAGATTTAAAACCCCAGGGAAGAAATGCGAAGCTAACATTGTTGTCATAATAAAATTAGAGAGCTGGCATTAAAGCTTACTAATTCCTATTTTAGCATTTCAGAAAGTGATGTGACATCATGTGGTTGTGTCTGTCCATTTAACATCTGTTTTTTTCTAATTTGCCATATATATTTGAAACAATTCTTTGTTTTCTCTCTCTCAGTAAGTGCCAAGTAATATTAATGGTTCATTTTGAAAAAGAAAAATTTTAATTGACTCAGAAAGTCACTTCTGAACTTATTATATTTGTGTTTTAGAGGACTCTTCATTCAAATTAACATATTTTGCTTTTATTGCTTTTCAGCAATGCAGTCAACCTTTTAAGCAATGTTCCAGTCTCTTGTTTGGATGTTCTCATTTGTCCATTAACTCATGAAGAAACATCCCAAGAGGCAACGACTCTAGATGAACTGGCCAGTGATAAAACTGCTGAGAAGGAAACAGTTTTGAAAAACAATACCATGGTATACAACGGTATGAATATGGAGGCCATTCATGTTTTACTCAGTTTTATGGAGAAGAGAATAGACAAGGTAAGACTGATAAAAATGGAAGTCTTGAGAGGATGCTTCCAAAGAACATAAATGTGCTATACATACAAACACACTTCACAGAGCATGAATTTTTAAATCTAAACCTTTTTATAGCTGACATGTTGCTTAATTATTTGTACTTTGGAAACCATTTTTTTACAATATATTATAAATTGCTGAGACCAAGTGCATGTATTTGCTTAATGCTGAAAATTGTGTTCATGCAACACCAAAATTGTGATAAATGTCTGAAAACAGTGGGAAAATGTATTATGTTCCATGTAGGTACCTTGTAAGTCCTAGAAGAAAAGTTATCCTCCAAAAAACTTGATAAAAACTCTTCATAATAAAAGACATCTTTAAAAAAAGGCATTTTCAGTTTTTCCATTTGTTGTGAGCTGGTTATGTTCTCTGGTCTGTCACTCGCTTTGTCAGGTAACTATATTAAAAGACAGCAAGGTAGCATAAGTGGGTCACCAAAACTTTGCCTCATTTAAACTTAATTGGCTGAGTCAATGGGAAACCTAGAAAAATGTAGGAAAATCCAGGAAGGATAAAAACAGGCAGTAATAAACATGAAGATAACTGATAAAATGGAGGTATTGTTGGGATAAGTGCTGCTAAGGATAATTTTTAAAGTAGTTGTAAGCTTTGGTAACATAAGATGTAACACACACACACACACACACACACTCAAGATGTACCACATGGACACGTGGGCGAGCGCACACACACAAAGTATCAGTATGCTCAGTTACATGGAGTAAGAAAATAATACTGTTACAAACTAAACTAATGTAGTATGCATGTTTTTTTTTTATAGGGAAGCAGCTATAGAGAGGGTCTAACTCCAGTTCTCAGCTTATTAACTGAATGTTCCCGAGCCCATCGAAACATCAGAAAATTTCTCAAAGATCAGGTAACTGCTTAATGCATATTACTTCTCAAAGTTAATCTTTTTATATGTTTTTTTAAACATAGAATTAATGAATTAAATTCTTTCACAGTGATTTTTTTCAAAAAATCAGAAACTCAGAAAAGTTAATTTTAATTTTCTAAATCTTCCTAATCAAGAAACAAATGGTTGTGTATTTTTTGAGTCATTCATTAATTTATTCAAAAAATGTTACTGAGTTCTACTAGTGCTGTGTTCTGAGCATTGGATGATAGGTGAAGTCTTTGCCCTTGTGACATTTACCTTATGGGGGGACAAAAAGTAAACAAATAAATATGTAATAAAATAGCAGGTAGTGATAAGCGTTCTGAAGAAAGATAAAGCAGGAGAAGAGAAAAGGAGAGACGTAAGGGAATAAGTGAGGGCCTCTATGAGGAGATGATGTTTGAGCAGAAAGTTGGAGAAGTTAGAGTATCTCTGAGAATATATGAATAAGTAATGTACCAGAGAGAACAAGTTCAAAATCCCTGAGATGAGAGGATGCTTTAATATGTTTCAGAAAAAGCAAGAAAGCCATTGTAACTAACCCAACAGTATACAAGGGGGAGAGTGGTAGATGAAGTAAGAGAGGTATAAAGAGACAGGTATATAAGGTTGTATAGGACTTTTTATTCTCTTCTAAGTGAGATGAGAAGACATTGGAGTATTTTGGGTGATGTGACCTCATTCATGCTTAAAGACACTCCAGCTACTATTTATAGGCTAGACTATGGTGGAGTATGAGTGGATGCAAGGAGGACCGCCCAAAAGAGAACTGATGATGAAGGCTTGGAGTAGGATGGTGACAGAGTTTATACATTGGGATATGTTATCAATATGTTAAATATTTAAATGTGTTTTAAAAGTAGCTCACAGAACTTCCTGATAGATTGGGATGTGGGCTGGGAAAGAAAAAGAAAAAATAATCAAGGATGATTTTTAAACTTTTATATTATATCTTAAACTCTAAGACTTTAATAGCATCCTCCAAAACCCCAGTTTCAAGCACCTTCTCTTTGTACCCTCAAGCCAGCATTCTTTCATCCTCATAAGGATTGTCAGTCTTTATTATTTTTTTCCACTGTTCTTCACTCACTTCATGTCTTCTCTCCTAGAATTCCACCTGTAGTTCACTGTAGTTCTCTACTATAATCATTCCTTTCCATACATCTTAGACCAGTACCTTGTGTCCTCCCTCAGTCATTCTTACCTGGCGTAACCCAACCAACTGGTTAAATCCAACCTTTCTACCTACTCTGGGCCTCCACTGAGCACACGAACATAATAAGAGAAAATAACACAGCCATTTTGACTGAGGGTCAGTCTACTTTAAATTTAAGAGCACCAAACCCAAGCGGTTTCCAACCTCCAAGATGACTACTTCATAACTCTTTTTTCTTCAGACCTCTAATGCTTACTCCTCTCTACTCACTCTCACTTGGTGACCTTGTTTCCTATTTCACTAAAAAATAAGAAAAAACTTTTTTCTTCCACCACCGAATCCACTGTCTGTCTGCATGTGCACTGCCATATCCTTTGTCTCCCCCTCTGTCACAATAGGTGAATCATTCCTGCTTCTGTCTGTGACCAGCCTTTGCTCTGGATTTCTTTCCCTCTTACCTTCTTATGAACTTTGCCCTTGCATTTATTTCCTCTCTCTTCTTATTTTAGTCATTTGAAAAAATGTACTGGATAATTTCTTTCAGCACCCAAATATGCCTTCCATCTTTTTTTTTTTTTTTTTTTTTCTAAAGATGTAGGGTACAATTCAGGGTTAAGTATACAAATGATCATTGTACAGGTAAAGTTTAGGCCTCACTTTGGTCTCCGCATCGCCTGGTTTGATATCAGGTACGCTTACTGATGAAGTGTGCCCCCCCTGCTCCCTCCCCTGGCAACTTCCCACTACTGCCAATCCCTTTCTTACAGTATTATGAAAACTGTTCAGGGTCCACTTATGAGTGAGAACATGTGGTACTCAGTTCTTTGTTTCTATGATAGATCACTGAGTATTACAGACTCTAAATCCATCCAGATTACTGCGAAGTTCATAATTTTGTCTTTCTTTATGGTTGCATAATATTCCATCGTATATATGTACCACATTTTTAAAATCCAGCCTACTTTTGATGGGCAGCACAGTTGGCTCCATGTTTTTGCTATTGTGAGTAGTGCTACAATAAACATGCGTGCACAGGTATCTTTTTTTATAAAATGACTTGAGTTCTTGCAGATATATTCCCAGGATGGAGACTGCTGAGTTATATGGGAGTCGATTTTTAGATCTTTTAGGAATTGCCACACTGTTTTCCCATGCCTTCCATCTTAAAAGCAAAATCATCTTCCCTTAATCCCGCTTCCCAAGCTGTCTTCCCATTTCTCTGCTCCTCCCTTATGTAGCATTCTTCAGAAGTTCTTTCTCTACCCAACCTCTTCTTTTTACTCTTCTTTGACTCTCTCCTGAACCTTCTATAATTAGGCTTTCATGCTTTTAACCCCACTGCAAAGGTGTTTATCAAAGTCACCAAATCAATATTGCCAAAGCTAATAGTTCTCAAATCCCTTTTTTTTTTTTTAAATTCCCTGATAGCATTTGTTGGCAACTATTCCCTCCTCCTGAAATACTTTCTTCATTTGGTTTCTAGGACACAATAAAGAACCTCTTCTTTGATGATTTTCCTCCTCTTCCCAACCCTAAATGTTTGAGTGCCCGAAGGCAATACTGTCTTGTCTCTATCCCCACTCCCTTGGTGATCTCATTCAGGAGCCATGGTTTTGAAAACCATCTCTATGCTGATTACTCTCAAACTTATATCTTGCATCCTGACCCATCCCCGAAGTTCCAGACTTGCACGCATATAATGAACTGCATACTCATCTCCTTCCCTTGAATGTATAGTAGATATCTTAAGTTTAACATACCTTAAACTAACATGATTTCCATCTCCCTAGCCTATTTCTTCCCCTTTTTTCCACATTCTTTTTTGTTTTGTTTTGTTTTAAGTTGGAGTCTCACTCTGTCACCCAGACTGGAGTACAGTGGCTGCTCCTGGCCACTACAGCCTCAACTTGCTGTGATCTGGTGATCCTTCTACCTCAGCCTTCCAAGTAACTGTAACTACTGGCGGACGCTACCACGCCTGGCTAATTTTTTTGATTTATTGTAGAGATGAGGTCTTGCCAAGTTGCCTAAGCGGGTCTCGAACCTGTGGGCTCAGGCAATCCACTCACCTCAACCTCCCAAAGCGCTGGGATTACAGGCTAAGCCGTCGAGCCCGGCTCTTTTTTCCGCATTCTAATACATGGTACTACTATTCACTTCATTGTTCATTTATCACTGTATAGAATTTTTTATTAATAAATATACCTGGTTCCTTTTTTCCCTTTTGATTTATACCAAGATTTAGTAAGTGCCCTACTATATGTAGGACATACTAATAGCGCTGAAAAGGAGAGATTAGAAAGCAGGGACTCTATCTTTGAGGAGTTTGCACTCTATTGAAAGAAGAGAGATACCATAAAAACATGAATAATCATTTAAGCAAGATTAATTAATTAATGAATTATGGTCATTTCCATGTTTGATTACTTTAAGATATTTTCCCTTAACTAGGAGGACTTGGTGAAGAATAATACTTTGTTTTCTGTATTTCTGCTTTTTTACATAGGGGTTCCAAGTCCAACTAAATTGTTTAGATTTTGCTATCTCTAACCAGGGCAGCCAGAAAAACCTATTTATCAAATAGCTTCTTTGTATGAAGGGCTTGGGCCACATATTGTATAGATACAAAAGATTATGAGACCCACTCTCTGTCTTCAAGAAACACTACAGTATAGGTAAGGAAATGAAACATGACAGCTAAAAAGATAACTAAAGATAGAAGGCTAATACAGAAATCAACTTTCCTTCTGAGGAGGATGTACTGTAGACTATGATGATCAAGAAAAGCAGAACTTAAAGTAACAGGTAACAGGTGATTAACTTTGATAATAGTGTAAATGGAACGTGATTAATTATTATGCCCTGTAGTAAATACCTGGTTTAATCCAACTCATGCATACTCAAAAGAAATTGGTCTTCAGTATTTTGTATTTGGGCAGGTAGAAAAGAATATAGGCTGGGTGTGGTAGTTCATGCCAGCAATTCCAGCACTTTGAGAGGCCAAGACAGGAGGATCACTTGAGTCCAAGAGTTCAAGAATAGCCTGGGCAACATATAGTGAGACCCTGTCTCTACAAAAGTGTTTTTTTAAAAAGGAAAAACAGATGGTAGAAATTACTGACCCATGTTGCCTAAATCTGGAGATGCTTGCTTATAGAAGCAATGAGTATTCAATGGTTTTGAAAAAGAGGCTGGACAAGATTTGTCAAAGAAAAAAATTATTGGAGAGTAGTATTTGGGGGGAACACATATGCAGTTTGTGTGGGAGTGGTATGTAACAATAATAACATGTCTAAAAAACCCGTTTTGAACAGGCACAGTGGCTCACACTTGTAATCCCAACACTTTGGGAAGCCAAGACAGGAGGATTGCTTGAGCCCAGGAGTTCGATACCAGCCTGGGCAACATAGTAAGACCTTGTCTTTAAAAAAAAAACATTTTTTTTTTTAGTTAGCTGGACATGGTGGCACACACCTGTAGCTTCAGCTGCTCAGGAGGCTGAGATGAAAGGATCTCCTGAGCCCAGGGGATCGAGGTTGCAGTGAGCCATAATACTCTAGCCTGGGTGACAGAATGGGACCCCACCAAAAAACATAAAAACAAAAAAACTTGTTTTAAAGAAACTAAAACATAGCTAAGAAAATTTTTACATGATAACTTCGTTAATAGATTCTGAACTCTGGGTGCTGTAGACGTGTACTAAATCACTTGTTATGTTTCATTCTTTTAGCAAAGGGAGATGAACTTGATATGGTTGGCCCAAACAAATAATACAGGGGTTTTTTTGTTTGTTTGAGCAAAAAATCTCACTGTCACTCACACTGGAGTATAGTGGCATGATCATAGCTCACCACAGCCTCATCTACTGGACTCAAGCAGTCCTTCTGCCTCAGCCTTCTGAGTAGCTGGGACTATGGGCACGTGCCACTATTCCTGGCTAATTTTTTTTTTTTTTTTTTTTAGTTTTTTTTTATAGAGACACGGTCTCACTATATTGCCTAGGGTGTTCTCAAATTCCTGGACTCAAGTAATCCTCCTGCTTTGGCCTCCTAAAGTGCTGGGATAATAAGCATAAGCCACCGTGCCCAACCAATAATAAGGGTTGATTATGCAATTTGTACCTAGCATTGTGCTCTGCCTAGCCAGAGCTATTGAAATATGGATTCTATAAACACATTGAGTAGATTACTTGATTTTCTAAGATTTAATATCCATTTTCGTTTGTAGCTATATCTCCAGTGCCTCTGATACCTCCTGATACATGATAGGCACTGAATATAGAAAGAGAGAAACGGAAGGAAGAAAGTCAGTTGAATGGATTAAATAAAATTATACATAAAGGGCCTGGCATATAATTGGTACACAGCAAATTATTATTGGACTTTGTGTCTGTCCTCATTTCCTAGCATAGCACCTAGCTTATCGGATGCACTTAATAAAAGTTACTTGAATTCATTCATTTTTCCTTCAATCAGTAAATAGTTATTGAGTAGTTATTGAACACCTGTAATATGCCAGACACTGGGAAGAGAGCAATAAACAAAACAAAGAAATTCCTGTTCTGGTAGAACTTAGTCTTGGGGAAGGAAGCAGAGAAATTACACACTAAGTCAGGTGGCGATAAGTGCTGTGAGGAAGATTATAGCAGAGTAAGGAAGTGGGAGTGCTAAAAAAGAGAATGCTGAAGGTCAGTGATATTGGGTAATCAGAGAATGTCTTCTGTAAGAGACACTGGGACAGAGACCTGAAGGTAGTAAAGCAGAGAGCTTTACTCTCTATAAGTTTACTCTTTGTAAGTTTCTAGAAAAGGAGTTTCTAGGCAAAGGGAAAAACAAATGCAAAGGACTTGAGGCAGATCAGTGTGGCTATAATAGCATAAACAAGGACAACAGCAGAATTGAAGTCAGGGGAGTAGCAGAAAGGCAGGTTATGTGGAACCCTGTAAGGGAGTTATGAGGAACTTGCCTTTTACTCCGAGATGAGAAGCTATGGGAACTGGAGGACTTTGAGGAGTGACAAGATCTGACTTTCAAAGGATCATGTTAGCCACTATGTAGAGACTACATCATAGAGTGAACAGGATGGAAGCAGCCACCACTTGAGAGGCTGTGGCATTAGTCCAGGTGAGAAGTACTGGTAGCTTGAACTTGGTAATACTAGAGAAAGTAGTGAGAAGTGGTTGGATTGTGGCTATATTTCAAAGGTAGAGCTGACATAATTTGCTGATGGATGGATATGGGATATGAAAGAGGAGACAGGGATACTTACAAGGTTTTTATACTAAGCAATCGGAAGAATAGACTTACTTTTAATGAGATGGAGAACTGCAGGAGGAGCAGGTTTGGTGTAAACATAAAGAGTCTTGACATGGTAAATTTGAGAGGTCTGTAAAAGTCAGGAGGTCAGAAGCACAGAGTAGAATAGTGGTTACTAGGCTGGGGGGGGGGAATGGGGAGTTATTCAATGGCTATAAAATTTCAGTGACAAAATGATTACATTCTAGAGATCTGCTGTATAGCATTGTAACTGTAGTTAACAATACTGTATTGTACACATACAAATTTCAGAGGATTTTAAAAAAAGAAATGCAGAATCATGGGGTCTACCAAGACTTATTGAATTAGAATCTGCATTTTAACAGAATCTGCAAGTGTTTGAAATGCACATTATAGTCTGAGAAGCACTAACAAGTTAGCAAAAGGACTACATGCCACTTTAATTGCTCTGTAATCAGTGTGTAAGTAATGTGGTGACAGCATAGTTAATATTGTATTATATTGAATATTCTCTATATAGATTCATCATAGATATAATCATCTTAAAAATAAAAGTGAGGTGGGTTTTTTTTGTTTGTTTTTGTTTTTGAGTCAGAGTATCATTCTGTTGCCTAGTGTACAGTGGAATGATCACGGATCACCACAGGCTCAAACTCCTGGGCTCAAGTGATCTCCTGCCTCATCTTCCTGAGTAGCTGGTACTACAGGCATGCACCACCACGCCCAGCTAATTTATTTTTTGTAGAGATGAGGTCTTGCTATGTTTCCTAGGCTGTGCTCAAACTCCTGAGCTCAAGCAGTCCTCCTGCCTTGGCCTCCCAAAGTACCAGGATTGCAGGTGTGAGAACAGTACTTGGCTGAAAGTAAATCCATTTAAAAATAATTTCTGCCCTTATTTTAATCTATTACTTCTCCTAGACCTTTGTAAAATCCTAGAGTACACTTTTTTTCAGTGATTAAAAAAAATGTTTGGAGATCAGGAAAGAAATCAACTTTGGAGATATAATTTAGGAAATCATCAGGATGCAGAGACTATATAAAGCCATAAAACTGGATGAAATAACAAATAGAGTGAGTGAAAATCATGAAGAAAAGTTGGTGAAGAACTCAACCCTTGACGATTCCGTCATTTACAAAACAGGAAAAGAGAACTGGCAAAAGAGGCTGAGACAAACCATCCAGTGGCATAGGAGGAGAACCAGGCCAGATGTGTTTGGATGGAAGGATGTGTGAGTGAGTGAGTGGACTAACAAACTAAGCAAATTCCATCAGCCCTCTGTGGATCAGTCTATACAACAGGGATGAGGGTGATATTACTAACTCCTTTGCAAGGTAACTGTGAGGATTATAAATAATGTGTGTATATGATCTGTTGCAGCAATTAGCATGTAGAAAGTGCTCGATAATGAATAGTAGTCGCTTTTTTATTATAAAAATTAAACAATTAGAGAACATAAATATAGTTGGGGTTTTTTTTAGTAAATACAAATTGAGTATCCCTAATCCAGAAATCCAAAATGCTCAAAAATCTGAAACTTCTTAAGCACTGACATGATGCTCAGAGGAAATACTCATTTTGGAGCATTTCAGATTTTGGATTTTAGGATTAGGGATACTCAACCGGTAAGCAGATATAATGGAAATATTTCGAAATAAAAAAAATAAAGAAATCTAAAGCATTTCTCCTCCCAAGCATTTTGGATAAGGGATACTTGACCCATACTGAAAATGCTACAAGACTTAAGAGAAGGTAAAAATCAGTATGACTCTCAGTATTGAGGAAACCGTCATGGAAGAAAGAGAAAGTTGACCTAGTCTTTAAAATGGATTTGATAGAGGCAGGTTGAGGCATACCAGGTGCTGAGATGAGTAAAAACACAGAAATTCATGTGAGGATAGCATGGTGGTACAGTGAAGAGATGTTTCTGTTCAAATGAAACCTTATTACAGGCATGAAATAATTTGAGGTCTGTTTTTGTTATTTAGTTTAGTTTTATTTTATTTTACTTGGAAACTAACCTATATCTATATATATATATTTTTTTTTTTTTTTCCTAATTTTCCGCTCTTACAAAAGTAAGCCCAGTAGATAGTGTAAGACTGGCCAGTTGCATTGTACCATCCTCACTTACTCTAGTAACCTCAATTGATGATGGTTTTTGCATTTGTGCCATCAGGTTTTACCACCGTTGAGGGATGTGACAAATCGACCTGAAGTTGGCTCAACTGTGAGAAATAAGCTGGTGCGCCTCATGACACATGTTGACCTTGGAGTCAAGCAAATTGCTGCTGAATTCCTTTTTGTCCTTTGCAAAGAGAGAGGTAGGTTAAACTCTCTTTGCCTCTGCTTTTTATCTTTCAGAGGGAATTTAAGAAATTTAGTTAGTAGTGTTAGTAGTGGCTATCTCATTCCAATCTTTCCAGATTTACTATCTATTCTATTAGAGGGACTGAGGAGATATAGAAATTAATAATTTAACAACATTTTTATATACTTCTGAACTCATTGAAACATGCGGAGACAGATACATTACCAAACACATTTAAACTTTGCCTTCTGTATCCTTAACTGAGACTTCTTAAGCTTGATGGGACAGGACCTAGAGCCATTATGAAAAGTCTTGCTTCAGTAATTCAGACACTACTGTTTTAATAACCAGCACAGGCCTTGTTAGTTCCTCTGTTTAATTCCTATTGGAATTAAAACTATAAGAATTTTGAGCTGGGCTCGGTGGCTCAACCTGTAAAGCCGGGCTCAGTAATCCCGCGCCTTTGGGAGGCTGAGGTGAGTGGATTGCCTGAGCCCGCAGGTTCGAGACCCGCCTGGGCAACTTGGCAAGACCTCATCTCTACAATAAATTAAAAAAAAAAAATTAGCCGGGCATGGTAGCATGCGCCTGTAGTTCCAGCTACTTGGAAGGCTGAGGTGGAAGGATCGCCGGAGCTCAGCAGGTCGAGGCTGCGGTGGCCAGGAGCGGCCACTGCACTCCAGTCTGGGCAACAGATTCCAACTCGAAAAAAAAAGAATTTTGGTTTCTTTACTAATTTCAATAAATAGTTATTGAATGTGAGCTATATACTGAGTAGAAATAAAAAATGCATAATGCCCTTTAGATAAGTGTAAGATAGTAGTAGAAATTTTAAAATAACCATACTACAATGTAATAAATGCTACTCTATAAGTATATATAAAGTGATTGTCTACTGAAATAGATCCCATTAAAAATATTTTTCTAAAGTTGTATGAATTATTTACTCTGCAAGAGGCAAGTTTTCCATAAAATAAAAGGAACTTTGACTAAATAATTCAGAAATTCTCACCTATTTTTTTTCTTCTTCTACTTTATACATGTTCTAGTATAAAATCCCATCTAAGCAAATTTTATATTTCACTTTTTTAAAGTACCTCAATTTTATAAGAGATAATTTAGAATGGAAAAGTTTAGACACTTCCCTTAAAATCTTAAGTCAGTTGTATTCTTAAATTTCATTTCTGACTTACTGAGCCAGTCACTTAAATTCCTGTTAAGGTGGTAGGTCAATAATATAATTTGATCATTATCATAATGGTGACAATAAACATAGCTATTAGGAATTGAGAGGTATCATGTGCCTGATAGTCTATGTATAATCTCATTTTATTTTCATAAGGACCTACTAAGCTAAATATTATTATTATTTCAGATTTATAAATGAAGCAGCCTGGCACTTGTGAACCTTTCAGTAACTTATCCAAGGTTACATAGTTGCTTAAGGCAGGAGCCTGAATTTGAGTCCTGTCTTCTTTTCATTCTGCCATATTTCCTCAATAATTTGTCATCTATTATCATACACTAGTATATTTAGCATCTGTTATTTTAGACAATTTACTTCTTCTTTCATAACTTTCAAAAAAGGGTTGATTTAGCATCTTGGAACTAAGTAGTTAGCATAGCACCTTGCATATACTTATCTGTAAACAATGGCTTGATTTAATTGAATTAATTTTTTTGAAATCAGAAATGAGCCGTTTTTTATAGTGTAATTATGTATGTATATGCATAAATCTAAACCATACATGCATGTATCTATTCATTTTAAAAGGTTTGTCAAAACATACACCAAAATATTATTCATTGTTACTTCTAAGTAGTAAGATTACTGGTGATTTTTTTAAAGTTCTCTATATCTTATAATTTTTCTACAATGAATATGTATTTATTGTATACCTTTTTAAATGTTTTAAAATGGAAAAATATCAAGTTTATTTATTGTGTAATTATATATCTAAAGACATATATCTAAATTTAGACTTATATATCTAAATTTAATCACCTTACTGATGAGAGAGTATCATAGCAAATATGGTATATACATTTATAAGTGAATTTCGTTAAACTTTTTTTCTTTGAAATGGATAGCTTTGCTCCTCTTGAGCCCAGTATTTGAAGTTTTATAGTTCTAACTTTAAGCCCAATGCTAACCCACATAAGCAAATATTTTTTAATTGACCTTCCTCAAGTTTATATAAAATCATGTTTTTCCCTCCAGTTTGATAATAAGTTTAGTAGATGTGTTCTTCTGAAGTAAAAAATTCATTCATTCAACAAATATTATTTGAACTAGACCTTGAGATTACAGAGTGGTATGAGATAAACTAGGCTTCTGCCCTCATGTTATTTCTTTCTTATGTAAGGGTCACAGACTCCAATGCCTATAGCAATCAGACGGGTAATAAAAGTAAGCCAAGTAGACTAGATGTAAGATGACAAATGAAAACGAACACTTGGCTTATTGTTGGGGAGATAGCAGGTTGGGCGGAAGGCCATGGGACTATGGGATATATGAGATACTGTACAGAAGATATTACTGCTTTTTAACACCAGCTGATTGTTACCATAAAGGAACACGTACCCTGTGTTAGCAAATGTTCCGAGTTTTCAGGAGAAGCTAGAACACTGAATTTTTATATAAAATCTCTCAGTTGTTAAATGTTGTCAACGAATTCAAATTTAAACCCTTCTGGCCAAAAAAGTCTCTCTCCAGTCTACATTCAACTTAAAAGTCATCAGATGATGGAATTTGGGTTTGGAGGTAAACTATCAAAATAAAATAAATTTCAAATAATTTATTAGAGTGGCTGAACTGTCCTCTAAAGGATATGCAAAGCTAGGTTTGAAAGTGAAGGTACCTTGATCAAGACTGAAAGGTCAGACCACTAAGGAGAGATAACAAGCAGCAAATTGGGTTAGGAACATAGAGACTACATTAGGAAGGGCAACTGAAATGAGGTGAGATAGGCCAAAATTTTATGTAAGACTAGGCCCAAAAAGAACCATCAAAGTGTCTTAAATACCCAACTGTGCCAGGCACATCTGGATCCCAGCTGGTAGTGGCCCATAGGTTAACTTGTACTCAAGTTCTATTGAGCCCTGACATAAACTATTGTTATCTCTTTGAAAATTGTGTACTTTTTACAGGGGGCCTAAAGATAGGTCTTACATTTTTTTAACCAAAATAAAATGATTTGTAAAATAATCTCCTGCCTTGGTAGGGGTTCCCCAATATTTTAACATATTCATTAATTCCCATTATGCTCCGGGCATTGTGGTATAGGGGCTGAATTACAGAGATAAGTTAGGACTGAACTTCCTCAGCCCTGCACTTTTCCATTCAGTCTCAGAGGACTAAGAGTCTCTTTAGCTCAAGGTTCAGCAATCTCGCGTTCCTGTTGATCTTTTCTCTTCCTGTCTTCGCAGAAGCCTTGCTCCATCAGTTTTTACCCTCTATTCTTTAGTTTTTTCAACTCTCTCTATGTACTTTCCTCAACTTTTACATACGTATACATACTCATATCACTTTCTTGCATATCTTAGAATCTTGAAAGACAGTCTGTTTTTCTCCTCAGTATTCTTACTATCCACTCAGTCTTCAACTTGCTTTCCCCTACCATTCAGTGAGGCTGTCCACTACCATTCCCTACCCCCGAGATTCCACTGAAAATGCCCTCAGTAAGGTAACAAATTACCTAATTTTCAAAAGCAATGGGTGTGCTACCACATACTCCTAGATGTCCTTTGACCTCTCTGTTCTTTTCAGTCTCATTTGTTAACTCCTGTCCTTTTCCATATTTAATTGCCGATGTTCCCTAAAGTTACTTTGTGATCCCATTCTCACTTTTTATTGCTCCTTGAGTAATCTCATCTTCTTCTTGGGCTTCTGTTTACTGAATAGATTCCCAAATCTATGTACTTCCAACCCCAACCTTTTCCTGAACTTCAGTCATGTTTACCCACCTGCTTACTGGACACCTCCTCCTGAGTTTTTCACCGGTACCTAAAATTTATGTCTAAAGCCAAATTCATTATTTTTATTCCCATTGCCCTTCAACCTTTTCTTTATACTTTGATTACTTTCTCTGTGAAAGGTACTATTGTCTATTTAGTTGCTAAAACCAGAAATTTAGGTGTTACCCAAGATTCCTTCTTTACCTGTAGAACTAATAATAGCATATAGATTTCGCCTCCTAAATATCTCCTTTATTTCCCTTCATTCTGGTCTCACACCACTACCTTAGTACAGACTCTTAAAATTATTTTCTTGAACTATTAATAAACTAGTCATATTTGATTCAGTTTGTCTTCCACATGGCTAACAGAGGGATTGTTCTAAAACACAAATGTAATCTTGCCATTCCCTGCATGTAAAATTTCCAATGGTTCTCTATTTTGCCTTTATGTTAAAATCCAAATTTTACTTCTGTGGTTTATCTCCATAGTGTATTTTAAATCTTACTCCCCTGTTACACTTCGTGTTTAATCATATTAAATTCTTTATTCTTGTCTGCTCATACTGTACCATTTCTTGGCATGCTTCCATGGCTTGGCAGATAACATTCCTTTAGCATGGGATATCCTTCTGTGTCTTTGTTACCATAGTAAACTTTACTTATTTCTGAAGACCGGCTTAAGCATCATTTATGTGAAGACTTCTCTGACTATCCCAGGCAGATTTATTCTCTCCTTTGTGCCATTTTAACTTCTGTTTCTAATACTTTCAGCCTTTGTTATGTTGTAACTTTTTATTCATTCAGCTTCCATTCTAGACATTGAGTTTCTTTAGGTGAGAAATATGTCTTATCTTTGAATGTTCAGTGTTTAACAGATTGCAGGTACCCCATCAATGTTTAATAAAAGCGAAAATTTTTGTGCTCTCTATAACTTCAGTCTGGTTAATATACTATCTTATATGTTCAGTACACTATGGTAAGTGCCCTAAGAGAGGAATGTGCCAGGTAATATGGCATCCTGGAAAAGGGAATGATTTGGGGGTGTAGGGAAGGTCAGAGATAGTCTTCACAAAAGAGAACAGAGAAATAGGAAATATTCTTGCATGTCCAGAAGAGTGACTAGCTCAAGGGTGAGGAATCCCCAAGGAGACAACTTTGGAAAAGAAGGCAGAGGGCAGAAAATGAGGCTTTCAGGCCCTGTTTTGGAATTTGAACATAGCTTTTAAAGGGAAGCATTAGAGGTTTTCTTCAGGAAAGTCATAAAGTCATATTTTTTATTTACAAAGACACCTAGGCAGTTGTGTAGAATGAGAAATGGAGAGGCATAAAACTGGAAATAAGGACACCAGAGAAAGCTACTAGTTTGGACATCTAAATGTGACAATATTTGACTGAAAGGAAGAGGATTTACACAGAGAATGAGGAATGGTCTCTGGGTAGAATCCAGTTTTGCCATTCTGGCTTCTTGGTGAAAGAGAAAAAATGTTTTGCTTTTGTGAGAAAGTATAGTAAAACCCACATTCATGTACCCTACCAGTGAGGTTCTCACTACACAGTGCTGCTGGTCACAGCGCCCTCTAGCATCCTGAGAAAACAATGGTGAGATATTTCTTGCAACTTGGACTCAATGCTGAAATGTTTCATTTTGGCAACATTTTCACATAATTGCATGAATAATTAGTATGACAAAGAACAAATATGTTTGTGTGTTTTCTTTTGTTTTTTTTAAGGACTGCCCAGAAAATATTTTCTTTGCTGTAACAACTCACCTTAGCATCCAAGTACAGTCAGTTTTCCTTTTACTGCTTTCCCAATATCAAATAGGATATTATATGGTGTATTTGACAACAGACTAAATAGTAGCTGGAAACACTCCTTTAGTACTTCTCACTATGAAGATTTTGTATTTCACTTGTCTCTCCTTCTCTACCCTCAGTTTTGGGTATTTTATCCTATTAACAGAAGTTCATGTGTTTTTAACTATTGGCTATAGCCTTTATCTACTTTGAAGGCCAAGAATGTCTTAGGTCATCTTTGTAACCCACATTGTCACAGAGTTGGCACATAATGTTTGTTCCAGTGTAAGAGCAGTAGACATTATTTTTATAAAAGTGCCAGAGATTTTTTACAGTTAAATGACTTCCAGAGAGATTTTCTACATAAGAAAGCAGTTATTTATTATTCTCTTTACTTCTGTTTAACTGCTTTGGCCTTTCATGAACTATGTATTCTTAAACTCTTTATTTTTGCCATTTTGTGTCTTTTCTTACTGTTGTTATTGTAAGTATATTCATTTAGACCATTTATTCTTATAATATCCATTTAAACCTCCAAATGAATATTTCTTTTCTAGAACCACTAAACATCCTTATTTGTTTAAAAAATATTTTATGAATAATGCTTGCAGTGATAGTATCACCTACTATCTGTAAGCTATATTGTGTGGATTTAGATCTGTGATTCTGTGTCTTCAGTGGCTTTGTGCCTGACCATGTCATTAAGGTAATGTCTGATTCTCTGTGAATATTAAGGATATCTGCATACACTGAACATTCATTTCTTCTAATAACTTGTTGAGGATTCCTTGATTTATCTAAACTACTGCATTTGGAGAGGCATTGATAGTAAGAGGGTGCATATCACATTTATTCAGAGAGCTTTTCAAATTACACCATCATCATTTCTCATTAAATTCTAATATGATTCTACCTAGCACCCCTTTGAGAATTGTTACCAGAGAGACCTGAGTTACCAGTAGGTTTTAAGATTGAAAATGACTAGTTTAAACCTCATTTAACCTACTCAAATTAGCCCATGTTTCTTTCTGTACAGATTTCACCAGTTTGCTCTATTCATGGAAAGCAAAGCTTCCTTTTATTTATCTCCAAGCTACCTATTTTCACTGTCATTGAATGTACCCTCTAGGCCAAGTCTTTGAAAATTTAACAATGTTCATCTTATCCATGCCCTGTATGATTTTATACTCTGATCACATATATCCCCTTTCTTACCCATGTATTACCCTACCCACCATCCCTTTTAGGTCCCCCAAGATCTTTTTTTTTTTTTTGAGTTGGAGTCTCACTCTGTCGCCCCTACTGGAATGCAGTGGCTGCTCCCGGTCACCCCAGCCTCGACCTGCTGGGCTCCGGCGATCCTTCCGCCTCAGCCTTCCGAGTAGCTGGAACTACAGGCACACGCTACCACACCCGGCTAATTTTTTTTTTTTTTTTATTGTAGAGATGAGGTCTCGCCAAGTTACCCAGGCGGGTCTCGAACCCGCAGGCTCAGGCAATCCACTCACAACCTCCCAAAGGCGCGGGATTACAGGCTGAGCCACCGAGCCCGGCTCCCAAAATCATTTTAATTGCCCTTCTCTTAATCCTCTCCAGCCTTATTTTGTCTTTCTTAAGGCAAATGATATGAATTACAATAGTATTTCAGACATAGTTTTTACTGTGGCTTTTTACATGGATAAGATGATGTTTTACATCAGTGTTTCCTAGAGCTGTCTTTAAGATCATATTTTCTTAAGTAAATTTTGCTATTGTAATCTTTTAATTAAATATTCTAATATTTATCTTGAAATTGGACCTGAAGAACAGTAAGTACTCCTAAATATACCTGCCAAATATTATTTAGTATCCTCTTAAAGATGTTTAGAAATCACCCCAAAAAGTTGCTACAGCATAGAATTCCCTTGCAAAAGTTTTATGTGTCTACTTATCTTAGAGAGACATTACCTCACTCGTTGACAGGATAGGATAACACTTACAGAGGACCTGCACCAAATGCTTCATTGGGCTGTTTTTTGTTTGTTTTGTGTGTGTGTGTGTGTGTGTGTGTGTGTGTGTGTGTGTGTGTGTGTCTAAATGATCTTTTTACCCAATATTAACAGGGAAAAAGAATGAGTGTTCACTTTGTGCTCATATTTTTCCTAAGCATTTTGCATGTATTAATTTGTGAAGTAGGTAGTTATTATTCCATTTCTACAGATGAGAAAGCTAGGGTACAACTGTAAAATATCTCACTCAAGGTTAACTAGCTAATAATTGATAGAGCTATTATTGAAATCCAGCCAGTCCAGCTCCTGGGCCTACCTTCTTAATGGGCTTCGTATGCTTACACATTATTGCTGACTTTTAAGTTATTCAACTCTGTTTGCTGATATCCCTTAAGTTTTCTTATACCCTTTTCCTCCAATTCCTGCAAAGGATAAAACAAAGATTTTATGCTACATGCCATTTTGGTAAGATCTCAATCTGACTTTCACTGTCTCTAGTTTCTTATTATTTCTCCAAAACTGGATTCTTATTTTTTAAATTAGTTAGTTAATTAACTTTTTGAGTCAATATCTCTGTCTCCCAGGCTGCCAAGTATTGCTTGCCACTGGCATGATCATAGCTCACTTCAGTCTCAACTTCCTAGACTCAAGCAATCCTTCCACCTCAGCCTCTCAGATAACTGGGACTAGTCGTGAGCCACCACATCCAGCTAATTTTTTTTCATTTTTGAAGGGACAAGGTCTCGCTGTATTGCCTAGGCTGGTCTTGAACTCCTAAGCTCAAGCAGTCCTCTTGCCTCGGCCTCCCAAAATGCTGAGATTTCAGGCATGAAACTGAATTTTTTAAAAGTAAGGTTTGAGATCAGAAACTTAAAACATGACCCCTTACCATGGACCTGGTAGTCACAGAGGCCCCGCTGCTGCCACAGAGTATATTCAGAATAGCTCTGTTAGAATTTCTGATATCTAAAAAAGGCTCTCAGAGTACATAGGAGAATTTGTAGATAGTTCAGAATAACCACTACCACACTTTGAAAACCCCTCACTTTAAAGGTTTACTGTCATGGCATGTATCTCCAACCTTCCTATGTTGGGGAGTAACTGGTGTCGATGATGAACACCCAAGGACTTCTGTCTTAAACCCAATTCTGTTTTTGCAGTGGACAGCCTGCTGAAATACACTGGCTATGGGAATGCTGCAGGACTTTTGGCGGCTAGAGGCCTCTTGGCTGGAGGAAGGGGAGATAATTGGTACTCAGAAGATGAAGACACAGACACTGAAGAATACAAAAATGCAAAACCAAAGTATAGTATCACATTTCTTTTACCTAACTGTGGCTGTGCCTTTGAGTTGGTTATTTGCCTTTCACTTCCTTTGTCTTTTATTTTCCAAATTTTTCTTCTTTTCTGGATTTGGAAGCTTTCCACTTAACAGTGTCTTTAGAGGCAATTTCATAACTAGTGCCTTAGACAATGACTTCAAGTGATTGAGGAAGGATAATGTGTCAAGAAATGTTCTACTACATGATATTTTCAACATGTTCATTATCCTCTCCCAAGTTCTAAGAGAGCTGGTGTTTTTAGATATCTACCCTCATGTACTGAAAAAGTGTTATGCTTACTATTTGCCTTTCTTTCCATAGGTTGAGGTTTTATAAGATATAATTAACATCAAGTATTTAAATTGAACATTTAATGCGTCGGTCTTTTTCAAAATCTAAATGTAGATTCTGATCTTCCCTCTTGCATAAAATCCCTTATGAGTCAGTAAGATAATGCAGCAAGGTACGTTACTATCAAAAGGAAAGAAGTCTGATTCCACAGTGAATTTTAATCAAACACTTATCTTTTAACAAATACTCAGTGCACTAAATAAGCAAACCAGAGACTCTGTGAAGGCTTCTCTGAGTCAGTATTTACAAATTAAAGACACTAATTCTTTTTTATCCCACGATAAACCATCTCTCCTTCTTCCTATTCCCTCCCATCCTTTTCACCCCCTTCTTAGCCCCATCCCAGATAAACTTCTTAGTTTACACGTATTAAGAGTTATTTGAGCTCAGTTTTTTCTGGGTTGCATTACTGAACATGCCAAAAGGTGTGCCCTTCCTTTTTGGCATTATCAGTGAGGTTGTCATGCTGTATTTCCTACTTCACATCTTCTTGAGTGTGGTGTGGATGATGTAGCAGGTGATCAAGGACAGACAATCCTTATCTGCAAAATTAGATCCTTTTAAAATATTTATATATAAATTGTGGCCTGTTGCCATGAAAGTAATGGGTTATCAGAAGGTGAAAGAAATGATCAGTCCCCAGTTGGGCAAGACATATATGGCCTGTTTCTTGGCAAATCGGGTCTGAGTAGATAGTGTTACTTTTAGCACCCCCAGTACTATCAGCTTCAGCAGAAACCCTATAGAGTATGTCCTAGAAATAAAGGCTTTTGGTAGAAAAAGCTAGCAATGACTCTAAGCAGTGTGGTCTTAAGACTATCACCATTTAGTTGTTATAAATTGGCTGTCTCTATCAAGTATTTGAAGCTAAGATAGAGGAATCATGCTCCTTTCTTTCCCTAATTATAGAAGTTATCATTCTAAATTTGTCTTTTTCCAGCCCACAAACTATATTTCCATATCAGTTTAACATTGATATCATTATTTGAGCCATTAAAATATACCACATGAAAAGTCTCATATTTTTACATGAAGGTGGAAAAGAGGCATTTCTTATATCCCAGGGTGCATGAACACAGTCAACTAAGGTAGAAAACTCATGAGTACTCATGGATGGTTGATATATTTGCATCTTGATGTGTATTGTGGAGTTTTTTGGTAGGTGACTTCTTATAATGGTAATGATCAAATGATCATATATCTAGCAAGCATAAGAATGCTACTATAATAAGAATGAACTCAGAGAAAGCAAAAGAAAACTGATTCTCTCCCAGTAGTTTGGGAGAAAGAATTGTTACATGATGGAAGTAATGTTATATTTCAGGAGAGCACCTTTTGTTTAAACCAGTAACCATGATGTGTGATATTACTGTCTTGGCTTTCTGTCATAGAAAGGTTATATACTAGCCAGGCCCAGTGGCTCAGCCTGTAATCCCACGCTTTGGGAGGCTGAGGTGAGTGGATTGCCTGAGCCCATGGGTTCGAGACCCATCTGGGCAACTTGGCGAGACCTATCTCTACAATAAATAAATTAAAAAAAATTAGCCGGGCGTGGTAGTCTCCGCCTGCAGTTCTGGCTACTTGGAAGGCTGAGGCGGAAGGATTGTCGGAGCCCAGCAGGTCAAGGCTGCAGTGGCCAGGAGTGGCCACTGCACTCCAGTCTGGGTGACAGAGTGAGACTCCAACTCAAAAAAAAAAAAAAAGAAAGGTTATATACTTAAGCCTTATTTACATCCCTTATTGGAATTTTATTCAGCCTTTTGGACTTGGTTTATAATGTTCATAAGAATGATGTGTTAGTGTGGTCAGAATAGTCACCATTATGAAATCGTTTCTTAAACATTGCTCATTACAAGTATAAAAATGTGTTTTTCAAGTAGCATCACATTTTCCCTCTTTACATAGATTTGCATCTATTTTTCTCCTAAGTCTTCTTTCTTTAAGGTAAAATAGTATGGTGGGACATTTAATATGTTACTTTATACTTTCACTATTTTGAAGTGCAACTATAAACGTGAGTGTGCAAGTGTCTTTTTGATAGAACGATTTATGTTCCTCCAGGTATATTCCCAGGGGAAGGATTGCTGGATCATATGGAAGATCAATTTTTAGTTCTTTTAGGAATCACCACACTGCTGTCCACAGAGGCTGAACTAGCTTGCACTCACACCAACAGTGTAGAAGCATTCCCTTTTCTCCACACCCATGCCAGCATCTGTTGTTTTTTTATTTATTAATGATGGCCATCCTTACTGAGTTAGGTGGTATCTCATTGTAGTTTTGATTTGCATTTCTCTGATGATTAGTGAGGCTGAGCATTTTTTTCATGTATCTATTGGCTGCTTCATGTCTTCTTTTGAAAAGTGTCCATTCATGTCCTTTGCCCACTTTTTAATAGGGTTGTTGGTTTTTTCCTTTCAGTTCATTTGAGTTCCTTTTAGATACTGGATGTTAGGCCTTTGTCAGATATATAATTTGCAAATGCTTTCTCCATTCTGTGGATTGTTCCCTCACTCTCTTGATGGTTTCTTTTCATACTCAGTGATCTGTCACAGAAATAAAGAACTGAACACCACATGTTCTCACTCATAAGTGGGACCTGAACATTAATCACATTAGAGAGAGGGACTGGCAGTCGCTAGGCACTGCTGAGGAGGGAGGGAGGGATGGAGGGAGGGAAGGAAGGAAACACAAAGAGTACCTGGTCCTATACCAGAGAGGTGAGGGCTAATTGGAGGCCCAAACTTCACCTGCATGCAACCTGCTTGTATCATTAATCCTTACTTGTACTCCACATCTCTATAATAAAATAAAATTTAATAAAAATAAAAAAGGAAGACTGAGGGAATAAAAGTAATATGTTACTTTAGAGTACTTCTTCAAATGGTCCCTGTAGAAATGCTAGTGAACAAAGTTCTTTGCAAGCAAGAATACAGTGCCCTTTTGTTCTCCGGGGAGTGATACACAAAGTGCAAACAACTTTTTTCCTAAAAATTGTTAATTTTTTTTAAACGAATCTAGACAAGCTTATAAAATCAATATCTGAAAAGATTACTTACTCTCCTACCACCATTTACCCTTCACCAGTAAGAGTTCCCAAGATCCAAGTCTGCTTTTCTTACAGTGCGTTTATTCACAACAGTTGCTAGTATTGGAAGAAGCAGAGAAATTACCCTTCATCCAGTTGGCCCTAGTTCCACTGTCACAAATGTAAGTGGATTGTGATTAATGCACCAAGGTAACCTGTAATCCTTTACTGGAATCTGAAACCAATAATTGTATGGAGCTTACATTCAGACTATGTGAGATAGTTAATATCACAGCAAAGCTTTTTGTGTCAAAATAAATGTATTTAATGGACTGGAAATGGCTTTCTTCAATTAACATACTTAAAAATCCATTCATAGAATCAAGTTACATGCCACATAAGTTTTTGCTGTATGTCTAGACAGGTTGGCTAAAAGTCTTCAGATAAGTTGTGTCAAAGGAAAACCAAATTTCTAAATTTTAACTTTGATACCTTTTTTTTTTTAATGCCTCTGAGTATGGAGGCCCCTTTACTGGATAGGTGATATCATATAACTGATAGGGTTTGTACATCATTTTAGACATCAAGAGAAAGGTGTGTCTAATGACATTTGGCTCATTAGACCAGTGACTTTCAGGCTGGGTGCACAGGTGTCTAGAGGTCCAAAGAGGTGTCTTTAAAAAGCTGCTTTATGGAAGAGTAGGATTAAGAGGAGACCAAAAATGGACAGAACCCTAGGACACGTCTTTATACTGTTAACACTCCATATTAGTGCACAATCAGATTCAGAAGCTTAAAAAATCATTGCACTGATAAGCTCAAGGGTGTTTCTTTCTTGACCATATTTTTCTCTGCTGTAGCTATGCCAGCAGCTGTACAGACAGTTTCTTCAGCACAAGGCAAGATACTTTTTCATTTGTCAATATTTTGTTATGCTAATTAAGTTAAATCTCATAGTTGCCTCATTATATTGGAGGCTACATAAATAATTTCTGTATTTTAAATGTTTCTTGAAGTAAGTGAAACAGGAACCAAGACTTGACTGTTTTTCTCTTTCCCAGTTTCAGTTGTGATGGTGTATTTATGTATAATAGAATTTAACTAACATTTCTAAGAACTGGAATTTATTACCATAAGCAGTCATGAAATGTATCTAAACTCAAATTTCTAAGCATTCAATAAAATCCAGCATCCCTTCTCGATAAAAACCTTCGAATACCTAGGCATCAAAGGTACATTCCTCAAAACAATAAAAGCTGTCTATGACAGACTTGCAGCCAACATCATGCTTAATGGTCAGAAGCTGGAAGCATTCCCCGTAAGATTTGGAACAAGACAAGGATGCTCACTCTTACCCCTCCTATTCAACATAGTACTGGAAGTCCTAGCCAGAGCATCAGGCAGGAGAAGGAAGTCAGGGATATCCAAACACCAAAAGAAGAAGTTAAATTTGCAGTTGATGTGATTCTATACCTAGAAAATCCTAGAGAGTCTGTCAAAAACCTCCTTGAACTGATAAACGGGTTCAGTAAAGTCTCAAGATACAAAATCAACATGCAAAAGGCAGTTGGAGAAAAGGGAACATTTCTATACTGTTGGTGGGA